CTCTCCTCCAGGTGCGTCTACAGCGGAGCAAATAAAAACCCTGAACGGACGGACACCTAGACTCCGCCTCCTGTGAGGAGAACAGCGGAGGCTGGTAGCCAAGGCAACCGTGGAAAGGCGAAAGGCCGTGGCGGAAGACGGATGCGAGTTATAAGCGTACTCAGCCCAAGGGAGCTGTTCAGACCACGATGCGGGATTGCGAGAAGCCAGACTACGGAGAATGCGAGCAATGCTTTGATTCGCCCGTTCGGCCTGCCCATTAGTCTGGGGTGATAGCCCGACGAAAGGCTGGCGGTGGCCCCTATAAGGCGGCAAAATTCCTTCCAGAACAATGAGGCGAACTGCGGACCTCTATCAGATACTACATCGGAGGGTAACCCATGCAGCTTAAAGACATGGTTTACCATGATCTGAGCAGTCTCCTTAGCCGAGGGAAGTTTAGGGAGCGGAATAAAGTGCGCCGACTTAGAAAAACGATCGACTACAGTCAGGATGACCGTGCTCCCTGCTGAGGAGGGAAGTCCGGTGATAAAATCAAGCGCTATATGCGACCACGGACGAGCAGGCACAGGCAAGGGTCGAAGGAGACCGGCTGGGGGAGAATGACCCGACTTGGTCTGCGCGCATACGACACAAGAGGCAACAAAACGACGCGTGTCATGTTCTAACGTGGGCCACCAAAAACGCTGACGGATAGAGGCGAGCGAACCCCGAACTCCCGGATGAGCGGCTAATCTGGAAGAATGTCCCCATCTAAGGACCGCTTGACGCGCTGACACGGGGAACAAAAAGAAGATCCCTAGGACACTCAGGAGGGGCAGTGACTCGAGAGAGAGCCCTTCTGACCAGTCTCTCGATTCCCCAAACAATAGCCCCCACGAAGCGCCCTGGGGGAATCACCGCGTCATTATTGACTGGCGCAGAAGACGAATCAAAAAGACGGGAGAGAGCATCGGGCTTAACGTTCTTAGAACCTGGGCGGTAGGATATCGAGAAATCAAAGCGAGTAAAAAACAGAGCCCAGCGAGCCTGGCGTGCGTTCAAACGCTTAGCAGAACGGATGTATTCCAGGTTACGGTGGTCAGTCCACACTAGAAACGGAACAGTGGACCCCTCTAACCATTGTCGCCACTCCCCTAAAGCTAGGCGAATGGCGAGTAACTCCCGATTACCGACATCGTAGTTACGTTCAGCAGGTGAAAGGCGGTGAGAGAAAAAGGCACAGGGATGTACTTTACCGTCAGCGGCGGATCGTTGGGAGAGCACAGCCCCGACCCCCACCTCTGACGCATCCACCTCCACTATAAATTGTCTCGAGACATCGGGAGTGAGTAGGATCGGAGCCGTAGTAAAAAGGGTCTTTAGCCGATCAAATGCCGTTTGGGCGGCATCTGACCACCTAAAGCTGGACTTGACGGACGTCAGAGCCGTAAGGGGCGCGGCTACCTGGCTGAAATTTCGGATGAAACGACGATAAAAATTCGCAAATCCGAGAAATCGCTGTAACGCGACGCGGGAGTCGGGTATGGGCCAATCGGTAACCGCCGACACCTTGCCTGGATCCATACTGACCCCCTTGCGGAGACAATAGAGCCTAAAAACGAAATCGAAGACACGTGAAAGGTGCACTTCTCAGCCTTGACAAATAAACGATTCTCTAGAAGCCGTTGGAGGACTCGGTGGACGTGCTGAATATGGACCTGAGGGACGGAGAGAAAATCAGAATGTCGTCCAAGTAGACAAAGACAAAAATGTTGAGCATATCGCGGAGGACGTCATTAATGAGAGCCTGAAAAACTGCGGGAGCGTTGACCAAACGAAAGGAAGAACCCTATATTCAAAGTGCCCCAGGGGTGTGTTAAACGCAGTCTTCCACTCGTCTCCTCCCCTTATTCGAACTAAATGATAAGCGTTACGGAGATCGAGCTTAGAGAAAACCTTTGCTCCCTGTAAGATGTCAAAAGCTGAAGACATCAGTGGCAAGGGGTAACGATTCTTGACAGTGATCTCGTTCAGCCCTCGATAATCTATACAAGGGCGCAAAGAGCCATCCTTCTTCTTGACAAAGAAGAAGCCGGCACCTGCAGGAGACGACGATGGAACGATCAGACCAGCATTTAGAGATTCTGACAGGTAATTCTCGAGCGCCTTACGTTCTGGAGCTGACAACGAGTATAGTCTTCCCCGAGGAGGAGAGGTCCCCGGGAGAAGATCTATGCTACAGTCGTACTGGCGATGAGGGGGGAGAGAAGTGGCCCGAGCACGGCTGAAAACCTCCCGCAGATCGTGATACTCCTCCGGTACTCCTGTCAAATCACCCGGCTCTTCCTGGAAAACAGAAACAGATGACACGGGGGGAACAGCAGAAGTCAAACACTTAACATGACACGACAGTTTCCAGGATAAAATACAGCCGTTAGACCAGTCAACATGGGGATTATGTTGAACGAGCCAAGGGTGGCCCAAAACTACCGGTGTAAAGGGAGAATGAAAAACTAAAAAAGAAATAGTCTCATTATGGTTCCCTGAGACGGAGAGAGTAAGGGGAACAGTCTCTCTCCGCACCCTAGGTAGGGAACTGCCATCTAGGGCGAACAGGGGGGTGGAGCTCTTTAAGTCAATGAGGGGAATACCTTGTTCACGAGCCCACGTCTCGTCGACGAAATTTCCCTCAGCACCGGAGTCGACCAGAGCGGTCCCGGACACTGAGGTTGTAGACCATCGAAGGAGGACAGGCATAGTGGTGCAGGACTTGGACGGAGGGATCCTAGAAACAGCGCTCGCCAGTAACCCTCCGCCTACTGACGAGCTCTGGCTTTTACTGGACAGTCTGAGACAAAGTGTCCAGCGGCAGCACAGTACATGCACAGACGATTCATGATACGTCGCTCACGTTCCTTGCGGGAGATACGAAGACCTCCGAGTTGCATCGGCTCAGGATTCGGAGTGGCAGGCTGAAAAGGAGTACCCTCAGGCGGAGCGAAGAGGGCGGCTTCCATTCCGCGGGCTCGACGGCGTGAGTCAAAGCGTCTCTCCACGCGAATCGCCAGATCGATGAGAGCGTCGAGTTGGGTGGGTGCTTCGCGTGCCAGAATCTCGTCCTTGAGCTCCGGGTTAAGAGCCTCCAGAAAACGGGCCACCAAAGCCGTATTGTTCCACCCACAGGTCGTCGAGAGCGTGCGGAACTGGATGGAGAAGTCAGTCACCGAACGCCTCCCCTGACGGAGTACAGAGAGCAAGCGCGAAGCCTCCTCACCATAGGCTGAGCGATCAAAAACTCTTATCATCTCCTCCTTGAAAAGAGAGAAGTCAAACACACAGTTGGTCTCGGCCTCCCAGTTCGCCGCGCCCCACTCCCGTGCCCGGCCAGTGAGGAGTGAGATGACAAAAGCGACCTTAGACCGGTCAGTAGAATACGTAGAGGGCTGGAGAGAAAAGACCACCTCGCACTGTGTCAGAAAGGAGCGGCATTGCGTGGGCTCACCCGAGTAAACGGGCGGGTTATTTATCCGGGGTTCGGACACTCCGCGGGTCTCAGGAAAAGAAGGTGATTCTGAGCGTAACTGGTGAACCCGCTGAGAGAGACCCGTCATCTGAGCAGCCAGTGACTCTACAGCCTGTCTTGCCGACGAGATGTCCTCATCATGTCGGCCCAGTAAAACACCCTGCATCTCGACAGCCGCATGAAGGGGACTGCCACTCGCTGAGTCCATCGTGGTCGGATTATTCTGTAACGTATGGATGGAAAAAGGACCCAACAGCGAGGATGCGGTCAACTGATAGTCTTTAATGGATGGTAAGCAGACCAACAGTAATCATCAGAAGTTCAGGGGAATAATAGCAGAAAACAGTCACGGCCACACGGCACTAAATGAGAACAGAAATCCCCACTTCTGGTGAGCCCCGAATGCAGCCACGGACGGCGACTCGCTAGGCAGAGAAACCCCGAGCCTCCCGTGAATGAGGTGAGGTCAGCAGTAGGTCGGTGGCGAGGCAGAGGACCACAGCTTCCAGTGCAGCACTGAAGTCAGAGAGCAAAACCACACAGTAATATATGCAGGTAGGAATACAGCTCACAACCAGGACAGGACAGGACAGGACAGGACAAAGTAGAGTGAGATAATTCCGGCGTCAGTATTAAGCCACAACATAGAATAATCCGACAAGGATCTAGGGACAGAAAGCGCTAGAAGAAGGAGAAACAATCAGGGGAAGAATGGAAACAGCTGGTGTCGACCAGCACAGATAATAGGAAGAGTAGCATCAGCTGAAAGAGATGAGATAATGAGATCCTGAGGGCGTAATGCCAGAAAGAGAGAGAGAGAGTGAACAAACGGCCACAAGAGGGAGACAGAGAAAGAGAGAAGAACCAGGATCATGACAAATGCAATCACCACATAACTAATTTCTGTATTTAAAAAAATGTTAGATTGTTAGATTTCAAATCAATGTATTTATTAATTACAAAATATAAAACATTAAATTCAGGTTAATACAGGTTAATAAAACTAATTTAACATTCTAAAAGGGACTAAAAATCCTCTATACAAATATAAAATAATTCAAATAAACATAAAATACCTTTGCTGGAAAAAAAGTATATATACAGTCATGGTCAAAATTGATGGCACCCTTGGTAAATGTGATCAAAACTGGCTGTAAAAAAAATAAATCTGCATTGTTTATCCTTTTGATCTTTCATTAAAAAAAATGGCAAAATCACATTATAAAATAAATGCTTTTCTCCAAAACACATTGGCCACAACTATTGGTACCCCTAGAATATTTAACGAGTAAAATATCTCTGAAGGATATTCCCATTAATATGTACCTTTTTTAACACATCAGGGTGACCAGGAACATGAAATTGTCCAGTCATTACTTCTTGTTTCACAAGAGTTTAAATATGAGGAAACACAAATGCCAAATTCCTTTAACCATCCATCACAATGAGTAAAACCAAAGAGTATAGTTCTGATGTGAGGCAAAAGATTGTTGACCATCACAAAATAGAAAGTGTAAGAAAATAGCTAAAGAATTGAAAAGCCCCATTTTGACCATCAGGGCAGTAATTAAGAAATTCCAATCAACTAATGGTATCTGCCAGGTAGAAGATGTGTGTCTATATTGCCTTAATAGATGGTGAGGGTGAAAGTTTGAGTTGCCAAAGACTCTTCAAGGGTCACAGATGGATAATTGCAGAGATTAGTTGAGTCTTGGGGTCAGAAAACAAAAAAAAAACTAAAAAACCACATGTTGTTTGGGAGGGTTTCAAGAAAAATCCTCCTCGTTCATCCAAGAACAAACTCCAGCAAATTCAGTTGTCAGACATGACTGGATCTTCAAACGGCACAGGGTTCTGTGGTTAGATGAAACTAAAAAAAGAGCTTTTTGGCAGTAAGCACACTAGATGGGTTTGGTGGACATGAGAATAAAAAGTACCCTATGTGTACAATTTAATATACCGTTGGATCTTTAATGTTTAATGTTGCCTATTTTTCTGCAGGAGGTCCTGGACTTCTTATTCAGAGACATGGCATTGTGGATTCTATATCAAATATTTATTTATTTATTTATAAACATTTATTAGAGGATCAGCCCCATGAGATGAAAAAATCAAAACCTGACGGCTTCTGCTAGAAATCTTATAATGGGCCGTGGTTGGATCTTGCATCAGGACAACGATCCAAAACAAACATCAAAATCAACAAAAAAATTTGTTACGGAGCACAAAATTAAGCTTCTGCCATGATCGTCCCAGTGTCCTGACCTGATGAGTGGGCTAAACTGAATTGATGAAGCACCGATATGGATCTGGGAATCTGAAGGATCTGGAGAGATTCTGAATGGAAGAATGGTCTCTTATCTCTTGTCAGGTGTTCGAGCCCGATCTCATGAAAGTTCATATCTATAGCACAAATGTCATTCCAATGGAACTAGTTTTTGCGTGTATATGGTACGCGTTTTTCACGTGCATATGATACGCACTTTTTGGCGTATAATAAGTACAAACTCCCCACCCCCCTTCCCCCTAAACCTAGCCAGGGGGTTTTCAGTGCGTAGCATATGCACGCAAAAACCATTTTTGGCGTATAAATGCCATGAGAAACGACAATCGTGGTATAGATACGCACTTTCATGAGACTGTGTTGGGTGTTCTCCAAACTTATCAGGCTTTAAAAGAGAAGACTCAGAGCTGGTATCTTGGCAAAAGGAGATTGCAAAAAGTAATAAAAGGGTGCCAATAATTGTGGCCAACGTGTTTTGAAGAAAAACATTTCTTTTATAATGTGATTTCCACCCCACTTTCAATTCCTTTACTTAAATGAAAGGTTAGAATTTTGCCAATTTTTTTAATGAAAGATCAAAAGGATAAACAATCCAGATTTATTTTTTTACAGCCAGTTTTGATCATATTTACCAGATGTGCCATCATTTGTGACCATGACTGTATGTTTGGTGTGCTAATCATTCATTGGCAAAGTTCACTCTTCCACCGAGGTCTCTTGACTAGTCAGCAGCCGGTGGTCCCACTCCTTTCGTCCACCGGCTATGTCTCTTGAATTCCGCCGCCACACCTTTATCTCACTCTCAATTTCACAATCACAAGGACTTGGCTGAAAGGAACATTTTCTTACAGCCTCTGAAAAACAAATAGGCATGAAACAACACTGTGTATGGGAAGTAATTAATACATGCCATTTCTAATACCACATGCTTACCTGTTACATCCCTTCTTAGCCTCAGGCTCTGAAAAGGTCTCTTTTGGTTTGAGCCATTCCAGTTCAATTGAGTGGTTAAAGAAAAAAATATATATATTTTTCAATAAAATTTCAACAGCAGCTAATTATTAGGTCTATAGATAGAAAACTAAATACAAACAAATATTTAGCTAACAATAAAGTTTCAATACGTACTAATTGTGAAGGGCTTCAACTGTGACTGTGAGGTTGCATAAATCCTCTGTCTGCATGTGTGAGAGAGAGAGAATGCACACAGTACTTACATCTACTTTGTTTACGTGAATACTCGACTTGACATTTTGATATATTTTTGTGTTTATTTGGCCATTTAGGTCCATAACCAAAGACAAAGGCTATGCTTGTCTGTGTTGCGCTCGGAGCATGTGCACAGCATTCTGCCAGTAGAATTCCGCTCTTTTTCCCGACTTATCGCACTTTTAATATTTCTTTTCAGTATAAAGCACATCCTGATCTTTTTTTTTTCTCATTTTGACCAGGGCAAAATTTTCACTCTTGGTAAGTATCCTCTAAACCAGGGGTTTTCAAACTTTTTGTGTGTGAGGAGCACTATTTGTAATCAAGATTTTTCACGGACCACCTCATAATACACATATTATGATATTACATATTATATTATGTATTACATATTATAATCAGGTTCATTTGAACAACAGGCTTATTTTCATAGCAATGGAGTATGAAATCTATACAGCAATAAGAACACTTGGATATAGTCAGCATTTCAAAACCTTTAGCGATTTTAGGGGATTATTAATGTTAATCTTAAGAGTTCCACAAGTCCTCAAAAAGTAGACTTGAGAACATATTTGCCTCTGCCCTATAACGTTATACATTTAAAAGAAAACACAGTAGGCCTAACGTTATTCCAGGTTGAAAATAAAGTTGTCAAAAGGAAAAGCCATTGGAGTCTATTTGCCAGCCCGATATGAACGTAATATCCTCCTTTGTCACCCTCCACATCTTTCCCTTCCTCTTTGTATCGTCTGTCTAATATAGACCAATATTAAAAACAAACAACTAAATAAATGCTCGCCTAACCTGTTGCTATCCACCGATCCGGGTGTTGTGGTTCTGACGACACAGAGCTTGAACGTCATGGCCGAGCGCCACTAGCCTATTTTAGTAATCACACAATAGCTTGACAATTTAATTTACATTTTATATAAATATAGGCCTACATATTCTTTTTAATTTTTTTAATGGGAATTTATTGGTAAAATATTTTATATTTTATTTTGCCTTTTCATGGACCACCTGCAGTACCCTCACGGACCACTAGTGGTCCGCGGAATCGCTGCTATAAACACAGTTGATTATGTCTTAAATAAGCATAAAAGTTTTTAACAGAAACAGCAATTCCCCTGTTGTATGATGAAGTTAAGCGAGATATTGTGGTGTCACTCTCTTAACCCTGAGAATGTCGATCAATTTTTGTTTCTGCATAAAAATCTGAAAATGTAATTATTTAGAATGATTTCAATGTCGAAGAAATTACTTTCTTTGGTGCACATTCCAACACTTAAGACCAAATTGTTAAATACTAAGTGTTTAAAAGATCCATCCATCCATCCATCTTCTTCCACTCATCCGGGGCCGGGTAGCGGGGGCAGCAGTCTAGGCAGAGATGCCCAGACTTCCCTCTCCCTAGACACTTCCCCCATCTGTTCTGATACCGAGGCGTTCCCAGGCTAGCCGGGAGACATAGTCTCTCCAGCGTGTCCTAGGTCTTCCCCGGGGCCTCTGCCCAGTGGGACGTGCCCGGAACACCTCCCTAGGGAGGCGTCCAGGGGGCATCCGGAACAGATGCCCGAGCCACCTCAGCTGACCCCTCTCGATGTGGAGGAGCAGCGGCTCTACTCTGAGCTCCTCCCGAGTGACCGAGCTTCTCACCCTATCTCTAAGGGATCGCCCAGCCACCCTGCGGAGAAAGCTCATTTCGGCCGCCTGTATCCGGGATCTTGTCCTTTCGGTCATGACCCAAAGCTCATGACCATAGGTGAGAGTAGGAACGTAGATTGACTGGTAAATCGAGAGCTTTGCCTTACGGCTCAGCTCCTTCTTCACCTCAACAGACCGGTACATCGACCTCATTACTGCAGAAGCTGCACCGATCCGTCTGTCAATCTCCCGTTCCATCCTTCCCTCACTCGTGAACAAAACCCCAAGATACTTAAACTCCTCCACTTGAGGAAGGATTTCTCCACCAACCTGAAGTGAGCAAGCCACCCTCTTCCGACTGAGGACCATGGCCTCGGATTTGGAGGTGCCGTTGTTTAAAAGAGTTTGAGAAAACGAAGTTAAATTTAAGTTGTTACCGTTTTTGCTTTTATGGAATGTTTTAAGTTTTGTTTAGTCATTGAGCAGTGCAGACATGCTTCAGCCCTAGTAGATACACTATATGGACAAAAGTATGTAGACCCATTGACTTGGTTCTCCCTTTGCAATTGCAACAACTTTCATAAATACTCTTGTGGATGTATAAGCATAAAATTACACTGACACCCCACAATCTTGTGAAAATCCTTCCCAGAAGAGCTAAAGTTATTGCAACTGCAAAGGGGGGGATCAAGTCCATGTTATCGCATATGGATTTGAGTGGCATGCCATTGAAGTTCTTGAAGGTGTAATAGCATACTTGTGTCCATATAGTTAGAGCCATAGGCTCGGTCAATGCTAGTTCAAAGTAATTTCTTCTGTAATTTCTCCTTCAGCTGTGAACGCTCCTGGCGCACGCCGCGTAAATTCACCACAATAATAACAATCCGCCATGCACCATGCACACCTGCTCTTAAAGGGTTAGTTAACCCAAAAATGAAAATGATGTCATTAATGACTCACCCTCATGTTGTTCCGAACCCGTAAGACCTTACACAGTTTCAGATATTTTAGATTTAGTTCGAGAGCTTTCTGTCCCTCTATTGAAAATGTATATACGGTAAACTGTCCTTGTCCAGAAAGGAAATAAAGACATCATCAAAGTAGTCCCAGTGGGTTAGTTACAATGTTTTGAAGCATCGAAAATACATTTTGGTCAAAAAATAACAAAAACTATGACTTTATTCAGCATTGTATTGTCTTCCGGTTCTGTTGTGCATCCATGTTCACGAGTCCGCAGTGATGCTGCTGACGTGTGTCTGGTGCGTCTGTGTATTCGGGTTCAAATAAATATGGCTGGCCGAAAAATGCAAGTCTTCCTCTGTGTGGAAATCCTTAGATGAAGTTTATCTTCTGTTTGCGAAGATTGTTTTGTACAGCGTGCGTCTCCCTCAGACTGTAATCGAAGCTCAGCCGCACCAGACACATGTCAGCAGCGTCACTGAACACAGATCCACAACAGAACAGGAACACAATACAATGCTGAATAAAGTCCTAGGTTTTATTTTTTTTTTTGACCAAAATGTATTTTTGATGCTTCAAAACATTGTAACTAACCCACTGATGTCACATGGACTACTTTGATGAAGTCTTTATTTCCTTTCTGGACAAGGACAGGAGACTGTACATACAATTTCGATGGAGGGACAGAAAGCTCTCGGACTAAATCTAAAATATCTTAAACTGTGACAGGCTTGGAACGACATAATTTTATTCATTCAAATTTAAATGATTTACATAAACATAATTTTCCTTTTTGGGTCAACTAACCCTTTAACTGACCCGTTTAAGGAACCAGGTTACTGCGCCAACATCATTGGATTAACAATTTAATCCAAAGCAGATACTTTGCCCTGTCTTGTTTGGGTTTATGAAATGGAATAAAATAAATTCCATTGCTCGTCCTCTCAGGTGTTACAAGTAGCCCAAGCACCACATCGTTTTATAATTTTCGCAGCATAAACACCATCAAACTCAGAGTTCCGGATCTTCCAATGATTCTTTACGGCGCTGAAACGTAAAGATGTCAGAGTTCCGGTTCCAGTGCAACTGATTCTGAATTGCCATTGGCTCATCTGTGTTCGAGGGGAGGGGTTTACTGATAGGCCAATTAGGACCCACCGTGAAGACGCAATCGGCCTTTTGAAGGCTGCCTTTGCAGGATGAAGCATTGAATTGAGACACAGCACAAATATAGGGCTGAATAGAAAAAAAAAATATCTATCCAGTAACTGATGATTTTTATATCCACGCAGTTTGGAGAAAAGCATTTGGGCTGTGCTGCTAAAGGCTATAGATCATTAAATACTGCTCTACAAACCCTGTGATAAATCTTTTTACACTGAGGACAATTGAGGGACTCATGCACAACTATTAAAAAAGCTTCAAACATTCACTATAGGCTCAAGATGGCAACACATGATGCATTTAGAGCCGGGGACTTTTGAACAGGATGATTGGTGCAAGTTGTACTTATATGTAAATATCTTATCTTATCAAATTTATCTTTTAAATTTACACACAAAAACTTCCTTATAAACACTTCCCCTTGGGGGAATCCCCATTGCTCCTGCCAAAGTCTTTATGGGCAGACCCTCGACTCCTTGATTTTGATGTCTCAAAATGGTAAACTTCATATGCTCTTGTGGTCTTATGGATTTGCAATGGCTGACGTGCATGCATGTTCGTTAAGTCTACAAGACTGCTGGGTGTGGATTATTGTGTTTTTGATTCTAGGTTTCAGAAGCTGTCAAACGCCCCCTTAGCAGCCGATATGTGCCCTACAGCAGACAGTCATAGCAACATTACATCATGAAAGTGTGAACTCGGAAGGAGACCATGAGGCCTTAAGGGTTCAATTTGGGCTTAAGGGTTCAATTTGACACCCCGTACACTTCTACGCACTTCAAAATGTTTCAATGCATACACCTCGGTACCTGTTTCAAAGTTTGCATTCTCGAGCCACCAGGCACTGTTGTTGTGCGAATGAGTGGCCGGAGCGTGTTCATTTCATTGCAATGAAAGTAAATCAATCAAAATTAACTTTAGCTGGACAGTGACTTTATTCTAGAGCTGCTGTACTATCTCTGTTACTTTAACTTCCTATTATCACTGTAAAGCTGCTTTGAAAAAAATCTATGTTGTTAAATGGATTTAATTTAATTGCATATACTGTACTTGTAGCTTGACTTATTTTTTTGCAGTTCATTTTTGTGTGTGTAATATTTTTCATATTTGCTCCGAGTATAGCTATAGTACAGTGCAAAAAAAATAAAAACAAAAACTGAACGGCATCATAGCAGATTTCAAGTAACCAAGGTCTTAAGGCGATGTTAAACCTTTTGCACAGGTTCCGCAAAAATGGGCAGGTCAGCAGTATATAAATGACCAGCGCTCATTCTAAAGACCACAGATCATCTGTGAAGACACATTGTACTGAAACTGTAAGTAAGTGCAAAAAAATGGATCCTAAAATCTTTTTTGTAAAATTTGAAAACAGCGATGTTAAGGGCACACCTGAAGGTGACCACCAGGATGAGGGAAAAACACAAAAGAACAGTAAGTAAAGTTTATTCTAAAGCAGAAATGTTTCAGAAACTGAGAAATTACACTTATTGTTCTCTAAGAATGTTTAAATATGAAATGTATTAACATAATTATTTTTTCTCTTTGCAGCATATGTTCTTGTTTGCATTTTGTAGCCTACCATATATTAATTTTTAGATGATAATCATTATAAAATAGCATTCAAAAAACATTTTTATACTTACGAAGGTTGATTTTAATAGTTATATTTTATAATATGGAGTGAATTGTTCTAAATTTATATGTGTGTGTTTTCTCTCTGTCAGGAGGAAGTTGGTGTTTGGTGTTATTGACAGTGTGTCTTGGGCTCATTTGTGCTTTTCTACTTGCCTACATCATACTGCAGCACATCAAAGGCACAGGAGAGAGAGACCTGGTAAAGAGCTACTCGAACACAGTTAAAGAGTTCAATCAGACTATCAACGGCTTAAAGAAGAACAACACTAAATTAACGATTGAAAAAGTCCAACTGCAGAACAACTTCAACTCTTTGAGTCAGAAGAAACTGCAGCTGGAGACCCGAGTCAATAGCCTCACTGCTGAGAAAAGCCAGTTACAGAAAAGCGTTGACTCTTTGGGTCAGAAGAAACGGGAGCTGGAAACCAGAGTCAACAGCCTCACTGGTGAGAAAAACCAGTTACAGACCAGTTTTAACTCTTTGAGTCAGAAGAAACTGGAGCTGGAGACCAGAGTCAATAGCCTCACTGCTGAGAAAAGCCAGTTACAGAGAAGCGTTGACTCCTTGGGTCAGAAGAAACTGGAACTGGAGACCAGAGTCAACAGCCTCACTGGTGAGAAAAACCAGTTACAGACCAGTTTAAACTCTTTGAGTCAGAAGAAACTGGAGCTGGAGACCCGAGTCAATAGTCTCACTGCTGAGAAAAGCCAGTTACAGAGAAGCGTTGACTCTTTGGGTCAGAAGAAACTGGAGCTGGAGATCAGAGTCAATAATCTCATTGCTGAAAAAAGCCAGTTGCAGACCAGTTTAAACTCTTCGAGTCAGAAGAACCTGGAGCTGGTGACCAGAGTCAATAGCCTCACTGCTGAGAAAAGCCAGTTACAGAGAAGCGTTAACTCTTTGGGTCAGATGAAACTGGCGCTGGAAACCAGAGTCAACAGCCTCACTGGTGAGAAAAAACAGTTACAGACCAGTTTAAAATCTTTGGGTCAGATGAAACTGGCGCTGGAAACCAGAGTCAACAGACTCACTGGTGAGAAAAAACAGTTACAGACCAGTTTAAACTCTTTGAGTCAGAAGAAACTGGAGCTGGAGACCAGAGTCAATAATCTCACTGCTGAAAAAAGCCAGTTACAGACCAGTTTAAACTCTTCGAGTCAGAAGAACCTGGAGCTGATGACCAGAGTCAATAGCCTCACTGCTGAGAAAAGCCAGTTACAGAGAAGCATTGACTCTTTGGGTCAGATGAAACTGGCGCTGGAAACCAGAGTGAACAGCCTCACTGGTGAGAAAAACCAGTTACAGACCAGTTTAAACTCTTTGAGCCAGATTAAACTGAACCTGGAAACCAGAGTCAATAGTCTCACTGCTGAAAAAAGCCAGTTACAGACCAGTTTAAACTCTTCGAGTCAGAAGAACCTGGAGCTGATGACCAGAGTCAATAGCCTCACTGCTGAGAAAAGCCAGTTACAGAGAAGCATTGACTCTTTGGGTCAGATGAAACTGGCGCTGGAAACCAGAGTCAACAGCCTCACTGGTGAGAAAAACCAGTTACAGACCAGTTTAAACTCTTTGAGCCAGATTAAACTGAACCTGGAAACCAGAGTCAATAGTCTCACTGCTGAAAAAAGCCAGTTACAGAACAGTTTTAAAACTTTGAGCCAGATTAAACTGAACCTGGAGACCAGAGTCAATAGTCTCACTGCTGAAAAAAACCAGTTACAGAACAGTTTCAACTCTCTGAATCAGCAGAAACTGGGTTTGGAAGTCAACGTCAAATCTCTGACTGATGAACTACAGAAAGTTAATGATAGAGGTAAGTACATTTTGTTTTTGTTTCAGTTCTTACTTTACTTCTTCTTTGATGAATACATTTTTTCAAAAAAAATTTTTCTGTTAGGAAATCGGTTGGGTTGGTTTTTCATAACCCCTCCGTTGAACTGGTTTAACAGCAGGCAGTACTGCAGGGATCGTGGTGGTGATCTGGTCATTATCAAAACTGAAGCGAAGCAGGTGAGTTTGGTTTAACGTTTTTTTTAATAAATGAGAGGAATCACACTTACTCCTGTTTTTATCCACAGAGGTTCATAACCTCAATAGTCAGGGATAATGTGTGGATTGGTTTGAATGACATACAGCAGGAGGGCAAAATGAAATGGGTGGATAATTCACCACTTAGTCAAAGGTAAGTGCTTGTTTAGTATTCACAAATCCATCACAACCACCACTAAGTGTCTAAAAACAATTATTCCATGACATCAACAATCATAAGCAAATCAACTTCCTAAATAAATTATATTATTCTTCTCTATTTTACTTTTCTGCACTTTCACTTGTACTGCAGCTTATTTTGCTGGTTTGATTATTGTTGATTCATGAATTTTGGGGTTCTGAATAATTAACAAAACTGACACATGTTATTCAGGTTTTGGTACTCACGTGAGCCGAATAACTTGCGTGATGAGGATTGTGTTGAACTGTATTATTCAGTTCCTCTCCACAACTGGAATGATCTCCAATGCGCCACCCTCAGAAAAGGGGTCTGTGAGAAATAGGGTTCATCCTGGTTTGTGCTTTTGTTTGTTTTATTTTATGGAATCATTCATACTGTGTTCCCATTGAGATTCCTGCCTTTTAAAACAGCCTGCTACTTTCATTTGAGATGCACTGCTTTCATGATATCAATTTTGTTTTATAATTTTTCTGTAATGTACAAAATAAAGAATGCAAAGTCATTATTTTATCATTGCTTTATTAAACTCACAACATTCTGTTTCTCATGGGGTGAATTATTAATTACTTCGTAATTACTCAGTAGTTACATTCAAATCAAGACTCAAAACACATCTTTTTAGCTTTTATATTTTATTCTAAACTGTTTTAATTCTTCTTATTTGTTTTGATTATTTTAGTTTCTTCTATGTAAACCACTCTGAATTACCATTGTGTATGAAATGTGCTATATAAATAAACTTGTCTTGTCTACTTATTAATTAACTTATTAATTATTGAATATTATTAAAACCTCATAATTGGGGGACAGGTGAAAAGAGAAAAGCATAATGGACGAGGAAAGTGCTGTGCTGGTTTTGAATTGTATAAAATCCCAACATATGTTTGACATGATCCTTATGTTATGAATAGGATTGATTTTTCTACTGAACTGATATAAAGAATGTAAAGCTGACTTCAGACCTGACTTGTTAAAAAGAGATGGTATTATTATCCGACCGTGTGCTAGCTGTCTCACATTACTGAGGTCCAATAAATACCAACACATAGAGACTCTTTCCCCCAGATATTAACATATATAGACTGTCGGTTTCCAAATTACTAAATAAAATCAAAAATCTCAAACAAATTGATTTATTTATGTTCAATACATTAAAAACAGATATAATGCAGATTAACAAATGATAAAGCTTGAGTTGCTGAATATTAGATCTGTTTTGATGCAGCAGACACCAGGGAATCCATATGCAGCATTTATTAGAAGAATCAAACAGGCAGGGATCAACAACAGCTAACAGGGCAATGGAGACAAGGCATAGACAAACCAGATACAGGCAGAGGGTCGAGGCAGGCAGCGAGAATCAGAGTCCAGTGAAAACAGTCCAGGGTCAGGGCAGGCAGAAAAGGGTCAGCAACGATAATCAATGCACAGGTCAAAAATACAGGAAGCAAAGAAAGGAGAAAAACGCTCAGAAATGCTACTAACAGTAAAACAAGACTTCGCAAACAGTGAATGTGAACACAAGGTATTTATGGTGTGAACTAAACAAGATAATGAGAAACAGGTGAATGAGATGAGTGCTGATGAGTCTGGGCAGTGAGTTATGGGAAATGTAGTTGTGAGTGAAACATGAACATCTGGTGTGGAGTGCCCTCTGGTGACTCTCAAGGGCACTCCACCTGGTGACCGTTACATAGCCCCACCCCAAAGAGCGGCTTCCAGACGCTCAAAAACAGTCCAGGAGGGAGGTGGAGCGGAGGCGGATCCGGGGGAGGGATGGAGGGCCAGGTCCGTGGAGTGGAAAAGGACCTGCAGACTGCGGCAGAATGGATGGCCAGGGCGGAAACAACCCCTCAGGGGACCAGGGTGGAGCAGACTGTGCGGATGAACAGGGCGGAGCAGGTTGTACGGGCGGCCAAGACGGTGGAGACCCCTCGGGCGGCCAAGGGGGTGAAGACCCCTCGGGCGGCCACGGTGGTGAAGACCCCTCGGGCGGGCACGGCGGTGAAGACCCCTTGGGAGGCCAAGGCTGTGAAGAGCCTTCGGGAGGCCACGGCGGTGATGCCCTCTCAGGACCAGACACCAGCTCGGGCCCAGACACCGGCTCAGGAACAGACACCGGCTCAGGAACAGACACTAGAACAGAAATGGTCACAAGGACAGACACAAACACAGAAACAAACACTGGCTCGGGAGCAGACACTGGATCGGCCATCTTGTCCGGAGACACTGGATCAGCCATCTTGTCCGGAGACACTGGATCGGCAATCTTGTCCGGAGACACTGGATCGGCAATCTTGTCCGGAGACACTGGATCGGCAATCTTGTCCGGAGACACTGGATCGGCCATCTTGTCCGGAGACACTGGATCGGCTATCTTGTCCGGAGACACTGGATGGGCTATCTTGTCCAGAGACACTGGATCAGCCATCTCGTACGGAGACACTGGATCGGCCATCTCGTCAGGAGACACTGGCTTGGCCATCTCGTCTGGAGACACTGGCTCGGAGGCGGCCATCTTGTCCTTAGACACTGGCTTGGAGGCGGTGATGTGAACAGTCTCTGAATTGGCAGAAGTAACATGAACAGTTTCTGAATCGGCCATATTGTCCGTAGACACTGGGTTGGAGGCGGCCATCTTGTCTTTAGACACTGGCTTGGAGGCGGTGACGTGAACAGTCTAGTCTCTGGATTGGCAGAAGTAACGTGAACAGTCTCTGAATCGGCCATCTTGTTCATAGACACTGGCTTGGAGGCGGTGACGTGAACAGTCTCTGAATTGGCAGAAGTCTCATGAACAGTTTCTGAATCGGCCATCTTGTCCATAGACACTGGCTTGGAGGCGGCCATCTTGTCTTTAGACACTGGCTTGGAGGCGGTGACGTGAACAGTCTCTGGATTGGCAGAAGTAACATGAACAGTCTCTGAATCGACCATCATGTCTTTAGACACTGGCTTGGAGGTGATGACGTGAAGCGTCTCTGGCTCGGCATAAGTGATGTGAAGGGTCTCTGGCTGGACAGTCTCTGGCTGAACGTTCTCTGGCTGGATGGTCTCTGGCTGGACTGTCTCTGGCTGGACTGTCTCTGGCTGGACTGTCTCTGGCTGGACTGTCTCTGGCTGGACTGTCTCTGGCTGGACGTAGCTGGTGTGAAGCTCTGGGATGAAACTCTCTTCGCAAACGGAGAGCGCCTCTCTCCAGTTCAGACCTGAGAGATTGGGGAGCTCCCTCTGGTCGACCTCCTTAGCCCCTAGCTGGTAACACAGCTTAATTGCCTCATCACCGAGAGAGCAGGAGGCAGCGAGAGGAGCAAACCCCCAGGTATACTGGAACAGATCACGGCTATCCAGGGCCAAGGCCGCGATCTGACCAGAAAACTCCCGGATCTCCATTTGAGTACTCTTTCATAAGGTAAGGGAGAAGGGGGTATGCAGGGTCCCCCACGAGAAAGACAGGTATGGGCTCCACTCCATCCACTATCTGCCGTTCCAGTGAAGATATCTTACCAGTCTTGAAGTAGTTGTTCACTTTGGAATTTACAAAGACACATGCATCATGGACACTTCCAGGCCATTTTATGACCACGTCCATGAATCTGTAAGGCAAGCAAATAGCAAAATGTCTAAGTGCTTTGCAATTGACCCTTCGCAGAGAGCTTCATTGACAGGTGATCTGACCAATCATACTTCGCCATCTGCCATCTGGCCCGACAGGGGAGATAGTAGTTTAACATGGGATGATTTAAAAAAAAAAAAAAAAGTAGTGTGCTGATGCCTTTCCGCGGTTAAAACAACATTCCTTCTTATCTTTATTCATGTTTATTTGATGCCATAAATGAACTAGAAGGAAGAGATGATCGGATCACGAACAGTTTTAACTGATGCTCTACAGCGATCTGTCAAGACACATTAAAGAGCCACAAAACTGTATATATTGTTTAAATTTCTTTTTAAAAATGACAAAATTTGAAAGGTGACACTTAGTTTAATATGTTAAATATAAAAAGTAACCGAAAAGTAACCTGGTCTGTCAGCATGTTGTCAGTCTCCTCTCTGCTCCACGATGTAATTTTCACTGCGTGAGAACAGTCTATGGTGAGAATATGAGAACTGTGTATAGCTTGTTGGGCCATGGCGACAGTAACTAAGGGGACGGGTCTTTGCGAACAGTCAATTATATACAATGACAATACAGTGAAGAGTACATAGAAATAGCACAAAAGTACCTTGATTATGCCTACCTGTATCTGTAATCACACACAGGACATTCAGGGAAAACTTCCCCTTCCTATTTATGTAGTCCATGGCGTTGACGGCTGGCTGTTTAATTTCAATGTGAGTCCCATCTACCGCTCCCAAACATTGTGGCATTCCATGATCCTGCAGAAATCTGGAAACGAGCTCCTCTGCCTCGGGCACAGATAATGGCAACTTTACGTATTTTGGACCGAGATGAACAGTTATGGCTCTGCATGTCTGTCTGATGATGACCGACACAGTGGACCGTGATAAGCCAAAGGCGTTCGCAGGTTTTCTTAGCCGTCCCTCGTCGCTTAAATAATACAACGTACAAGCTACCTTTTTGAAGACTCCAACAGGTGCTCTCATGTTCGTTATTTTACCCATGATGTAAGGACAAAGTGCTCCACAAGAGGTGAAAAGATAATCTTTAGACATACGGAAATTTTCACGCCATGCATTGTCATCAACTACTCCTTCCACAAAGTTGTCCCACCATTTACTGGTTCTTCCAGGTCTCGTCCAAATCCATCTGGTTTGCCTCCAACGAATTGGGGCATCAACAATTTGATGGAGGTAATTAATGCGTCTTCTCTGATCAGTAATACTATGTGATATTATTTTTAATATTTAATATTATTTTGTGATATTACATTTTAGACGGGAACGCGACGGTGGAGCGTTTTTAAGATTTCCACTCTGGAGGGTGGTTTTACTTTTTTGCGTTTTCAAGCCCCAAAAAACGCTGTCGCCGTGTAAACGAAAGGAACATCCGAAAAAATATTTTTATGTTTTCACCCGGAATCGTTCTCGTAATGAGAGCTGTTTCAGTACTATGGTACGGTCTAAATCCTGAAAATAATCAAATAAATAACGAGTTGACAACAACTCTGTTACCCAATGATTCTATCTTGTCTAAAAAACGAGTTTTGTCATGAAAAATCACGCAATAAAACTAACCAGAAATGACTCGAAACAGCACGTGCGCCAATACCTAGAGAAGAACACAGCACGCCAATATGGACGTCAGACAGAAACTAGTGCTGCTGCACACTGTTTGCGCGATGATTTGCTCTGAGAAAAAAAAAATGCACAAAAAATAAAAAATAAGATTTACCCGGTGACCTAAACCCATCCCTTACTATGATTGGCCGTAGCTCAGGACATCACTGAGGTTGAGTTGCGCGACAGCTCTGGATATCTAGCATGGTAGATATTTTTCTGGGCTCGGCGTCGCACCTGCGAGGCGTCTGCGAGCGTCTTCGCTGCGTTGTTGGCTCTTTCAATTCACACTAACAGATTGGAAAGCGTTCATCGCCCGCTAATCACCCACGATTTGCACAAGATAACTCCCTGACCTGTCGGCGAGCTCAACGATTTGCAAATCGGGCTTAAAATCCTGTAGTGTGAACTTGGCATTCTAACATTCTTGTCAACACTTACAGTAGCTGCTGTTTGGTTTTCATATTGCTGCTCTCCTTCTAGTCACTTCTGAACCTGATGAACTTGACACTTCTGAACTCCTCTTGATTAAAGCTCAGGGTGACGGGTCGTCAGGTATCACAAAAATAATAAGCACATATTGTAAAAATAGACCTGGGAACACATTGTGTGATTGTAAAGCAGTTTCATATCGACAACTGCTCTCTCTCTCTCTCTCTCTCAGTGCAAACAGATTTGAATGTAGGCTAGAGAGTGACTCGGCGGTCGGCGCGCGCAGCGTGCGTGTGTCTGTGTGTGACAAATGCAGCGCGTGTGAGAGCAAATCGCAACTTCAGTGGTGAAGTTTTTGTCATTTAGGAATAAGACGGCGTCTTCTACTCCCAGCACTTCGCCCACATGATGATATCGCATCGGCATCAGAACCGTTTTCGGAACCGAAACTTAGGAATTTTGCACGGTTCCGGTATTTTTTCAAAAACACAACCGGTTCTGGAAAAGAACCGGTTCTCGGTTCCCAACCCTACTGATGAGGGAGTGAGTTCAAATGAGGGGACAAGAGGGTCCTGGAAAGTGGAGTGCAGTAGACGCAGACAGGACGGTGCAGACGCAGACTGTGACAGAACTCCCCCCTCCCGGAAGGCGTGGCCTCACGCCGCAGAACAGAGGAAGGAGGGGGGACGATCTGAGGGCTGAGCAGGCTGAGGGCGTGGCCAGGGCGGAGCAGGCTGAGGGCGTGGCCAGGGCGGAGCAGGGTGAGGGCGAGACCAGGGCGGAGCCGGTGGAGGGAGGACCCCTGGTGGAGCCGGTGGACACGCGGCTGATGACACCAGGGGGTCGACTGACAGGGGCGGAGCAAGTGGGAGAGGAGACCAGGGTGCAGCTGAGGGACCAACGACACAAGGTGCTGACGAGGGACCAAGGGACCATGGTGAAAACACAGGCTCAGGTGACCAAGGTGACGACAGGGGCACAGAGGGACACGGTGAGGATAGAGGGAGTGAGGGCTGACGGGTGACAGGAGGGAGTGAAGAATCCAACTGAACCGGGGGGGTGAAATGACGGGGCGAAGCCAACAAATGAAAGTCCAGAGGTGAAGAATGGGTGATAAGGGACCAAAGGGAATCCAGAGGGACGAGGGAGCCTGGCCGAGCTGGTGGACTGAGGGACCATGGAGGAGCTGAGGGAGGTAAGAGCCACGGGGAATCAGATGGGACTAGGGGCCGAGGAAGAGTCCATGGAGAGGAGGTTGGAGGAAGAGACCGGGGATCCATTGACCAGGCTGGTTTAGGGGAGCTGGCAGACAGAAGGGCTGACGGATGAATAATGGGAGGAGGTGGGAGAGGGAGGCTGGGAGGGATCCTGGTCTCTGGTGCAGGTTGAACGGTCTCTGGCGCCGGCTGGATGGTCTCTGGCGCCGGCTGGACGGTCTCTGGCGCCTGCTGGACGGGGCTGGACGGAACAAGCGAAGAGGAGAGCTCAGGCTCGGCGGGGCTGGACGTAACCAGCGAAGAGGAGAGCTCGGGCTCGGCGGGGCTGGACGGAACCAGCGGAGAGGAGAGCTCTGGTGTTGGAGTGGGGCTGGTGACGACATCCACGGTGAAAGAAGATCCACAGGACACCAGCACCCACTCCACACAGGCGGCGAAATCCTCGTCAGGACCGTTCCCTGGGAGGCGTGCCCGGGACCGCTTGCTGAGGCTGGCAATGTAGAATACACACAGCGAGTGGTCAGAGTAGTGGGTGAGGCACGCCAACTCCAGAAAATCCCTGGTGTGGGACTCCAGGGAACGGTTTTCCTGTTCCAGGCAGAGGAGGGCTACAGCTGGAAGGTCCATATTTCTTTTTGGGTCGGTCGTTCTGTCACGGTGTGGTGCAGGCTGAGGAACCAGAGGACTCCAGAGTAGCAATAAAGATTACTTTTAATATAAAAGACAGGCAGGAAGACAGGAACACAGGTGCAACACAGGCTAACATTAGACAACGACCGACAAAGACTGAATCAAACAGAGGGAACTAAATACAAGGAGGAATCAAACATAATGATGTGAAGAACATGTGAAACAGATGAACAAGACGAGGAACAGGTGGCTGATGAGGGAGTGAGTTCAAATAAGGGGACAAGAGGATCCTGGGAAGTGTAGTGCAGTAGACGCAGACAGGACGGTGCAGACGCAGACTGTGACAATACACACTTAATTTCATCTTCTCTTCTATTTTCAAGTTTTATTTAAACAAAAATATACACACACTTGATCAATGTTATAATGTTTAACCCCTTGATTTCAGGTAAATTTGCCAAATAAGTTGTTCCTTTTTATTTGTCATGGTCTCAAAATGTAATTTCTGAGTGATGTCACTATATCAAATTATCATATCAAATTACTGAATATCAATTATTTAATCAAATTATAAACAGTGCTTTTTCTTACTCCATAAACTAGATTATTGGGTGAAACTTTTCCCACATGAAGAGCACTGATTGATGCATATTCTCTCCAGAGTGAACTATCTCAAGATCTTTCAAGAATGATGAATGAGAGAAACTCTGTCCAGAGTGTGAGCACTTTACAGTTACTCTCCAGTATGAACTCTCCCATGAGCTTTCAAGGATTTTGAGTAAGAGAAACACTTTCCACAATGTGAGCACTTGTACGGTCTCTCTCCAGTGTGAACTCTCTGGTGTGATTTTAAGATGCCGGATCTAGTAAAGGTCTTCCCACAGTCAAAGCACATATATGGTTTCACACCAGTATGAATACGTTCATGCTCTTTTAAAGTCTGCAGTTTTGAAAAACTCTTTCCACAAAAAGAACAAAAGTGAGACTTTATAGCAGAATGAACATTAAGGTGTTCTCTTAAGCTAGACGAAAACACAAATGATTTATCACACTGATCACAGCAGAATGACTTCACTCCAGTGTGAGAGCGCAGATGTTCTTTAAGAAAGCTCTTGCGATTGAAACTCTTTCCACACTGAGAGCATGAGAACGGTTTTTCTCCAGTGTGGATTCTCATGTGCTCCTTCAAGCTTCCTTTCTGAACGAAACTATTTCCACACTGAGTGCAGGTGAAAGATCCTTTGACTTCAGTTTTTCCAGCTCGTTTTTGTCTGAAAGTCTTTTTGGTCCTTGAAACAACTTTATTTTCATTTATGAAATGAGGGTTTTCTTCTTTCACTTCCTTTGGGTCTAAAATCAACAAATGAAATTCCCACAATTCAATTAAAGGCACATGAGAACAAAAGCAATATACAGTAAGTGAACCTCAATTTAGCTCAAATCTAGTTTACAATCGAGTCTGCTAGTATCTAGTTTTAGATGTATTCATATGTCATTGGTTTTCATCTTAATGTTCCTCATCAGTCATTAAAGATGTTGAAGGAAAACACCAACCTATTTGTTCCTCTGTATCTGCATCTTTTGTTCTGCAGGGTTCTTCCTTAATCTCCATCTTTACAATAGTATGTCCGTAGTTTCTCCTGGAGTAATTCCTCCTGCTTGCTTCTTCTTCTCCTGTGGGAAGATGGGAATTCCCCAGCATTTAAACTCTCATGAACCAGGCTGATCTCATGAAGTAGTGTGTGTATGACATGCCAATTCGTATTTCCATTTTTGGTGTGCTATCAAGACGCATAATCGCTTTTCAGCGTGTTTATGAACGCCGTTGACTTAACGTTATTACTGTAAATATATGACTTACCTCAACCCCGTCCCTAAACCTACCCGTCACTGGGGTTAATGGCATTTATGATTGTTCCCTTACCATCCTAGGAAAAAAGATTGCTCCCCAGATGTAGATCTACATTTTGCTTCATTTCGCGCGGACATTTGACGACATGTACAGACACGCGGAATCACTCTGACGTTAATGGCGTAGATATACACGCATACACACGGATCGCTCAAAATGCGTAGAGATAACACGCCACTTGACTCAAAAGTGGCGTGTATGTTTACGCAAAAGTCATGATGTCATGTTGCATGAACGGCTGTCGGAGCTTTACTGACTGAAGGAGTGAATTGTGGTCGTTGTTGCTCATTTAGCAGATGATCATCACGCTTACAATCACTCAAGAAGATTATTCAGGTGCAAATATTTTGTCTTATAATTTAAATACAATTGCATTATTTCAGTTATTTTACTTCTATCATCAAGCTGCTCTTTCATTAGATATGGTTTAAATCCTAGAGTGATCATTTTTGGTGAGTTTTCTTTTCAAACACTTTCTTGCAACAGAACATCATCCAGACTGTATAGTGACTAACATCAGATGAGTGCTGCATTTTTCTACTGTATATTATTCTAATTTCATTAAGTATTTTAGTCATTTATCCTATGAAAAGTGATGTTATTATCAAAAATTAGCACTATATTTCCAGCACTGTTAAAACTATTAATTCTTCAATGCGGTTCAGAAAGAGAATATTGATATGGGCTGATAGCTGTTACTGTAGTCAGACTTCAATTAAACGTGTCTGAAATAAACTATTCTTCTGTTATTCATATTGTGTTACACTTGTGTTTACCAGGTTCAGTTTAATTAGCCATTACACAAAATATTGCTAAACACAACTAACAATCTTTAACAACATGCTGTCAGTAACGAGCTTACGTTTCAGTGTGATGAACAGCATTGGTTAATTTTAGGGTTAAGTATTTTAGGATTTAATAATGTCAGATTGAGATTATTCAAATAACCGCTACGGCTCGTTTATAAGTGTTGTTGATTCAGTATGAAGCGGCTCTTAAGAGTCATTCGCTCGGGAATCAGACACTAGTCGAGCTCAATGACATGTATACGTGGACAGATTTAGATTTCTCTCAATAAATAATAAAACAAATGTACTCACACAGTCCGGTAAACAGCAGATAAGAATCTCTCTCTCTCTTTTCTTGAATGAACTAAGATGGACTGGACCGACAAGATCACGTGATTGAAATAAAAACAAATGTCGCCATCTAGAGGAACATCTGTGGAGCTGCCAAACTATTGCCACTCTATTGCCACAACTATTGCTATTCTGAAAATCAAAACGACACACAAATTCTTCCAAATATGACATACGACACTGTTTATAATCATTGTACCTTTACCATATTGTTGATCAAATTCCATGTCTTTAAAAGCTTAATTTATTTTGGTGTTAGATCATAATTTAACCACTAGATGGCATCTGTAAATATCCAGTCAAAACATATTTTAAAATAGTGATTTATCACTGCAGTCTACTAGTATCTAGTAGACACTGTTAAATAACAACCATGAATACAATGTTGAAACCCTTTGATTACATGTAAACTGAAATAAAAGTCACTCAGTAAGAACAAGGTTATACCATAAATTCTGAACAAGATGTTGCTGGCTATAAATATACGATACACTAAGCTCCAAGTGATGGATATAAATGTGAACTTTGCTCACTTAGATAACTTTGGACAATGTTTTTTCTCATGATTCTGTAAACCAGACGATCAGCTGAAACTCTGTCCACATGTTAACACTTGCACGGTTTCTCTCCAGTATGAACGCTCCAACTCTGGATCTAATGAATACGGTGGCCGAGAGGTGCAAAACAAATCACAATTAGGCTATAAAAACACAAAAACAAGTCAGAAAACACAACGACAATTCAGAAAACAAAATAACAATTCAGAAAACACAACAACAAATCTGAAAACAAATTAACAAATCAGAAAACACAAAAACAAATCTGAAAACAAATGAACAAGTCAGAAAACACAACGACAAATCTGAAAACAAATTAACAAGTCAGAAAACACAACGACAAGTCAGACAAAACGGAAAAGGTAGGTATATGTGGCGAATGGAATACTGATCGCTAATTGGACGAGACATCTAAAGTCCCTATTATTTTATGGAAGGAGACGTAGTGTGTCATCCAAGCATTAATGGCAGGGACAGTCACAGAGTTTCTGTGTGTTTCTCCCTCATTTCTGCTCCGCGGTCTTGATTCTGGCATTTCTTTGAGGTTTTGTCTAGTAGGCTATATTCTAATTGTATCTTTTATGAATTTTAAAAAAGAATTTAACTCTGCCTCGTATATGTCCAAACGGTCAGTGTACTGTTGTGTTCATTTGTTTCCCCTTATTTAATCCGTAGGCCTAATTGCAAAATGAAAAATGAACGGTTGTTGTATTTTGTAAAACGCAGAGTTTAACACCAAAATGTTCATTTGAACTGTAGGACTAGGTCGAATGATGCGCAAAAAGGCTATATATCGGACGAATTTTCAGATATTTGTTTGATTTTTTTGCCCCTTTAAACATTTAAAATATTTGACAAATGAATATGGAAAAAAAAAAAAAGATTTTACTGGTTTTCTGAGGCCAAATTAGAACCTGGAAATTATATTTCCCCCCCAGAGTGCTGAATGAGAACCATAACCACAGCCTACAGAAAGGGGATTTATAGATGATTTATAAGATAGGGCCTATAATAAATGTGTCTGATAATAAAATAATATAAAATAACGAGGCATTAATTGTTTATTAATAAACTATTGTTTTCTAAATCAGTTTCTCCTAAAAACAAATCTCCATCCCCGGATGCACCTTTAGAGAGAAATACATAATTAGCTAAGCTACATAATTACATAGGCCTAGTCAGAAGATATTGGCTTTTGATTCGAATTTGTTCGTTTTAAATTGGACATTTAAAGCTTTAAATATCCAATTTAAAACGAACAAATTCGAATGCGGTGTCTGTTTCAGTTCTCGTGCTTTAGTTCACGGAAATCATGAAGCGCGCCTGTTTGTTAAAGCACAAAGTTTTCTTGTTATTGTGAGTTTACGCAAATAAATGTATTTGCGAATAATGTATTATTATTTTCTGTATGACCAGAAATGAAAGAGTATTTTAAGTTGTTTCCACTGAAAGAACTGCAATGAAACTGCAAGTGTTCACATGGGCGTCTCGCTGCCTCCACACTAAGCACACACACTGGATGCGTCAAAATATTGTGTTTATTTGTGCTTTGCTCCTTTTTTGGATAAAAGCGTCTTCTACATATGCAGCCTATAAAATGTTACAATAATGATAATTATTATTATTAAACAGAACGGGAGAAACTCCGGTGCACAGATCTTAGAAGCAAATTTATTAGAGGTGCAACAATTGACTAACGTTTCGATGTTTTTTTTTTTTGCGAAATGGACGTGTTGCCAATGTGCGTATTTTCAATTGGCAATTTCATTTTGAAGGGTGATGGAAACGCGCCTAATTGAACTGCTCTGAACTTACCACTGCGTTTTATTTCTATAAATTAATTTCGTTTCAAATTGGGTCCAACCAGTTATTAAAGGTGTTAAAAATTAACTCTGTATCTCGAGGTTGCGGCGCGCACACTCTATAGCAGTGGTTCTCAAAGTGGGGTCCGCGGACCCCTGGGGGTCCGCGAGCTAAAGCCAGGGGGTCCGCGAAATAATTTACAACCTAACGTTTTTTTCCATGCTATGAGTCATGTTTTCTTTATCATCTGAAAACATGCTGTTTATTCCTAAGTAACTTATATAAAGCATTTAACATAAAACAATACAAAGTAGACACTTAAAGTTTTCTATAGATAGATAATCTATGTCTTTGCGTCAAGTAGATTCGCTGCTGTTGATTTTGCGGGACGTGCGCCAGAAAGGAGACAGAGAGACGGCATGAACCCGCATCCGGTTCTTTTCTGTATTTTTAAAAGGCATGACATTTTGTAGTCATTTATAATGTAGCCTATACACAAATAAAAAATGGACACTTTACCGTTTCGGATGATGCACTCTTGTCTTATCTATGACCATAAATAAGAGTATTCCTGTTTCCACTGCTGAGGAAAAATTCCCATGTAATTGCGCGCCGGCGTCTCGCGTGCGCGCACAATAGTCAGTTCTAGCACTGCTACTGTAGATTTGACATTAGAAGTCTGATCATTATCAAAATAAAAGTGCATAGTGACAGGGCCGTACCCACAACTGAGGTTGCAAGGATGCACATCGCGATGATACTGACCTTCTCGTCTGAGGTGCTTCAGCAGACTAACAACGATAGCTCGTCAATGTCAAAATGTTTGAGTCGGAGTGAACTCAAAGTTCCCCGCACGACGTTTCAGTCAACGGTCATAAAGTGCGAGATAAGATGTAGGCCTTAAATTAACATAAACTAAACAGCTGTTTTAGATAAAAGTTTTAAAAAACGACTGAAACAATCAGTTTGCAAAGTATTAATCAAGCTCAACTTTAAAAAAGGAAAAAGCAGGTCAATAGAAACATACTGTGCCCATGAGATTAACATTATGGATTCATATATTTAACATATAGCCTACTGTATGTTTTTTTTAGCTAATTACAGTAGCTCAAATTAACAACGCACGCACCTATTAAACATAATGCCATTATCATTGTATTTATAGGCTTATGGGCTTTATTTGTGTGCAGAATAGGCCTAATTATTGAAACATTTCTCTTTTAAGGCCATTCCTGATTGGAATATGTGATTGTGTTTCGTGACATCTTGACAAAAAAAAAAAATGTATGCCACTGACTGACATGCTTCTACTAAATCTATAGTTATCCAATTGTGGGGCCTTAAAACACCTTAAAATGCACATGTGTAGATCAAGAACATCAAAAATTCCTAAGTGAGGGATTCTAACTAAGTGATTCCTAGCAAGATCACTTTCGTTACCTCAGTAGGCTATTTAGAAATTCCTGCATAGTACCCTGGGTGGAGACCATTCATTTTGTGCAAAAATATTTCATTTGCCGCTCACACATTAACTTTGTGCTCAATAACTGTTATAAATATGAGGGGGGTCCTTGGAATTTTTTTTCCCCTGAAAGGGGTCCCTGGCACCAAAATGTTTGAGAACCCCTGCTCTATAGGTTAACCGAGTATTAACCGAAAGGGCCTCGGTTAACGGTTAATGAAAAACTTGAAAACGTGCAGCCCTAGTTTGCAGGTATTTGTTCGTCCTTTCTTTGTTGATGACGAACACAAACTTTCTTCTAAGAGCAGAGTCGCGCGATGGCACGAGCGTCATCACTAAAGACACACCCTTTACGGCATTGGTCCTGGCTTTTGTTCACACAGCGCGCGTTCCGGGACTGATTACGGCAATGTTACTAGGTCCCCAACCTGGGATCAATCCCAGAAGCAATCCCAGGTCGTGTTTGCGTTCACACAGAAGGCGTTCTGGCAATTTGCCGGCAATTTCCTGGGATCAACTCGCTGTGTGAAAGGGGCTTTGCACTGCTTTGTATTCTGATTCTGATTCTGATTCTTCTTCTTCTTCTTCTTCTGGCGTTTAATGGCGATTGACAAGCCAGTTTGTGGTGTATTACCGCCATCAATTGGACTGGAGTGTGAAGCATCAACGGGGAAGGAAAAAACATAACGTTTAAAACATAACATAAATATGTAATTTAGATCCTATTTTTTAGTCCTGTTATTTTGAGAAAACTTGGTAGTTCTTTCTGCATTTTTGGGCTTAGGCACAACTTCATTTTTAAAGATTAAAAATGATTAAACTTTTATTAAATCTTTCAGTTTCTTAATCAACTCATCTCTTTCCAATGCTGCACAATGTAGAACTACATGCTCAAAAGTCTCTGCTTCACAACAAGATATACATAATCCAAATTTAAGTTTCCCTATTGTGAACAATGAATGATTTAAACCTTATTGTGTACATGGCAACCCTAATGTCCTATTCTGATTAGTGTAATAATTATGTATTAAGCATACTCTCCCTTTACCAACTTGTTTTTTGGATAGTGTAGAGGTGTCTGTTCTGCATTTCTTGCCACTTTTTTATTCATGTGTTCTTTAATTCCTCCTTTTATTTCTGCTTTACTCAGTAGAATTTGTAATTCACGTTCATATTTTGTCGATTACCTTGTGCAGATACCTCAGGACTAACCATTTTCAGTAGGCTATTCTGAGCAAATTTATAAGTATCTTGTATAAATTCTTGTAGTATGCTTCTTTCTCTATGTATTTATTGGCGGTTTGCAAACTAACTGGAAAGCATGCAATACATCCCTCAATGATTATAGGCCCATTGCGCCAACACCTGTAGTTGAAAAGCATGGAGAGGCTAGTTTTGCATCACATTAAGGCCTGTAAAAGGATTATTGTGATTTTAACGGTAAAAGACTGTAAACATGCAACAGTGCAAAACTGCTAATTGGCTAACAGAAAGTTTCCTTAGTATATATTGTAAATAACTGTGATAGATCTCATGTAAAATTAAATATAATATACAGTTAAATTTACAGTTTTTGAAAGTGAAAAACAACTCGTATAATTTACAGTGAAAAAACATAAATCGACATTCCCATAATTCCCTGCGTGACACTTCACATTTGATGTTTTGTCTTGAAATAACTACATTTCTTCTTAGTTTTCTTAGTTCTTGTCTAATTAGCGTTTTAGGGTTTATGTACATTTGGGTTTTATGTTATATTTTTTTGTTATGTTACATTTAATGTTGTGAAATTAAAGTTTATTGCATTTTTTTAAATTTCAAGTGTTACCATGATGGTGTTTAATGTTTGTGCGAATGACTCTGTCCAGCTTCTGTATAATAATATCAAATTTCTTATGGAAGAGCTGCTTATGAACAGATTTATCATGTGACTCAGGACCACTGCTCATTCCCCATGTCATCACACCAGGCTACCAAACATATTTTATTGTTTATTGAATATTTTTGCCAATTGAAGTGTTATTTTTCTAGTTTTGGACTATATTTTCCTCACTTCTACTTCTATCGTCTCTTTTAGATTTGATTATCATCTCTATCAAGGTCATACTCACGTGACATTGCAGTTTTTTTTTAGTTTATTTTCTGCATGCATTTTAAAGCCATATCCGTCTAAATTTCGGAAATATGTTTTTTTGAGTACACACATCTGAACCACGAGCACAGAAAGCTGGATGTCAGACGCGAGTTTCGAACTAAGCTCTCTTTCAGGATTTATTGAGCTTAAACTGTCAAATACACACATGGTTATGTCAAAAACATTCAAAGTTCTCATAAACTGTCAGTTATGTCTCTGTCTATGTAAACAGCAGGGAAAGAAATCACATGAGTATATTAGATATGTGAATTAAAGTGAAAGCAAAGTAATATACAGTACCTACTGCAATATCTCTGCTGTTAATATGAATCAAACAACAAAAGAAAACAGAAAATCACTCACTGCTCTTGACTGAATAACTTTAGTAGCTTTAATAAGAATACATTTCTTACTTGAATGCTGCTGTTAAATGCACTGGCAAGGAGACAAAAAAGGAGAACTGTCTTCAGAAACTAGTCAGGGTCTATGGTAAAAACTGAAACACTGCTTATGATTTATGGGGATTAAAAAAAGGAGTGGGTGGATTTTCATCATTATAGGGTGGTTGTGTACACACACTGCCGTCACACATTTATGTTCAAACAAGATGTAAAAGTGAATTTTGCATAATAGCACCCCTTTAACTAAAGTCATTCTGTTGAAATTCCACCTTTTTCCAAATCTGAATATCAAATAATTTTCTTTGAAGTGATGGATCTGAATGTGAACTTTCCTCACTTACACAACTTTGGGCAATGCTTTTTCATATGAGTTCGTAGACCAGATAATTGGCCGAAACTCTTGCCACATGAAGAGCACTGGTGCGGTTTTTCTCCAGTGTGGATTCTCTCATGATCTTTCAAGGATGATGAATGAGAGAAACTCTGTCCACAGTGTGAGCACTTGTACGGTTTCTCTCCAGTATGAATTCTCTGGTGTGATTTTAAGTCACTGGATCTAGTGAAGTTTTTCCCACAGTCTAAGCACACATGAGGTCTCAAACCAGTATGAATACTTTGGTGAATTTTTAAATATTGGAGTTGTGAAAAACTCTTTCCACAATCACAGCACAGATGAGGCTTCTCATCTGCATGAATTTTCATGTGTCTTTTCAGTTCCGCTTTCAAAATAAATGTCTTATCACACTGATCACAATGAAATGATCTTTTTCCTAAGTGAAACAGCATGTGAGTTTTGAGACTAGTCTCCCATGTGAAGCTCTTTCCACACTGAGAGCATGTGAAGGGTTTCTCTCCGGTGTGGATTCTCATGTGATTCTTCATGCTTGATTTAGTTGTGAAGCTCTTTCCACACTGAGAGCAGATGCAAGAACATTTCCCTCCTCTTCTTTGAGTGTTTTGTTGAGATTTCTGAAACTGATGGAGTTTCTCCTCCACTTCACTTTGTTCCATCAGACCTAAAACGAACATTACATTTCAATATTAAAATAAAAGCAATCCATAGTTAATTTATGGTTATTTATCGGATGCTAAACGTACCTTTGAAATTATAAGTCATCAACTCTTGGCAACAACTTGAATTCAGATGCATTTTACCTAACTCATCTTAAAATTACACAAACAATAGGATAATATATGAGCTGTAAAATAACATTAACTAGGAAGTGAAAGGAAAATACTAGATGTGTTTGGGAAATTGTGCCAATAAATCAATTTTCCCAAACTCATCTTGTATTTTCATATATGTTCCTATGTTATTATACAGCTATCATTGTTTAAATGAGGGTTTATAGCCATAATGTTCTTCAGAAGTTATTGATAAAGAAACGAGAATGGACACTGACCTATTTGTTCCTCTGTATCTTCATCTTTTATACTCCAGGATTCTTCCTCAAAATCCATCTTTACAATAGTATGTGAATATTTTCTCCTGCAGTCATTCCTCCTTGCTTCTCCTGTGGGAAGACATGTTCAACAGTATTTTAATAGGTCGATAGCTGTGTGATGCTTAACGTTTAGCATACTAGCCTAGCCGTTAGCCTTGTTTACACTTTCGCCTGAGTGATACAGCACCCTTTAAACTGTAGTGACTCTCCGCTCTCTAGTGATGGGAACACAAATCCTAGCTACATATGCTTCATATTTAAGATATTAAATGATTTGTAGATTATATAGATAACGGTTTCACGATGAAAACGATTGCTTCGAAAGAGTGAATCATTCGTGAGTTTATTCTGTGTACAAAAACCTCCGTTTCTCCCATCTTCACAACTTCTCCCCAGGCTGCAGCGCACAACCGTTTATTATAAATGAACATGAATTGTTGCTACATAAAAACGAACTCACTTTATAGACTCCAGCTGAAGATTTCACCAAGATGTTGTGGGCTGAGGGAACAACATTCGTCTTCCTCTATTGTAGAACTATTGGCGGGTTCTGAACTAACCACACAGTCTGCCATCTACTGGGCTGGAGTGAGAAGAAATAAGGCTGAGTTCATTTGTTCCTTTATTCTCCGATACAGACCCCGTCAGATTATGGCAGAAATGCCTTTCACCCTGTTACGACTTGAACCAGTGATAAGATTTTGGAAACATTATTTTAAAGTAAAAAATGTTACATACATGATTGCTTTAATATGTGCGCACAATCATAGTTTTTGTCCTTTGAGTGTTCTGCATGTTTACATTTTACGTGCCAGCTTTGTCACGGTGCTCACATTGTTGTAACTCATTTGCGTGCTGTGTTATGTATATGATAATATATATATATATATATATATATATATATATATATATATATATTATAATGATATCTATGGTCACCTGTATAGAGCATCAAAGTCCCGCCCACAGCCCGAGAGAGCAAAGTAAATTTCCCATTCATTTCTCCCATTGACATTTTGTAAAAATCCATATCTAAAGAGTATTAGAGCATGTCTGAGGATAACCAGCTACGGCTGAACTCATAAGCATACAACATATCATTTTGAGTGAAAAAAAGAAAAGAAAATCCCAAAAAAGTCAAGGGTACAAGCCTGTGTACATATTTTCATCTCCGAGCAAAGGAACTACTCCTCCCATAAACCAGCACACCTCACTAAAGCCTGAAGCCACCGTAAAAGAGCCTTTTGAGTGACTTCCAAATCTGACGATGGCCATGGGAACTTTTTCCTCCAGTGAATTATAGTGAATGTGCATGGAAACTAGCCTGACTTCGTCATACTCATATTCTTGTCGGAATATGAGTCTGAAACTGCTCCGTAGGACTTTGATTATGAGGCGTGTCTCAACCGAACCAGGAAAAAAAAACCCTCAATTGCACTCAATTGAATAGTCGGTAAACCACAACCAATCAGAGCAACGCAGTAAGTCAACTACTTTGCATATGTTGTCAACTACAAAACTTACTTATTTTAGAAGTTAAATAACGAGTGTTGCTTATTTTACTTGGTCCTCCATGAGTGCGACCAAAGGAGAAACCACAATGACCACAGGCTTTTGATTACGTCCCATCTTCTTAGCGACCGTCAGAGCCAGCTGATAAGTTACACTTTTGCCGAATCATGTGGGAAGGAGGGCAAAAATATCTTTCCGATCGACAAATGCCTCGATTGCAGTTCTCTGTTTGTCTATTAAAATTAATGCGCTTTCGATTTATTTTACAAAAGACGCGACAGCAATCTATACATCTCAATTCTCAAGCTGCAGTCATCTTTGAGGGAAACCAGTTAAGTGCTCTTTGATAACGTGATGATTGCGTCCTTGCAGATCATCTGTCCATCATCGGATAAAGCCCGCCCTGGCAATTTGATTGGCCTGAACGTTTTTTGCCTGATCATAATTACTCCTCAATGGATCGAGTCCAGACAGAACTTCCCGACCAAAAAATGTTGTGGGCGGAGTTCGGCATCCAGGCTACATGGAAACTCCTTTTCCTCGCTTTACTGAAGCAAACGCATTTGCAGCTCCACATGCTAAAACATCGAGAATCTGGCTCGCTTATTGGCTGTGCTGCAGCAACTGCACATCCAATGGCGCGAGGGCGTCTCCGAGGTGCGATCAATGAACTTAGCCCTACGTCATTACTCGACCTTTAGTCTGTCACACACCTTCGCGGGGTTTCAGACACGTGACTCGACCTCCACCAATCAGATGCATCACTGTGGGATTGTTCAGGATTGTGGGTAATGAAGTACTTATCCAATACATCGCAAATAAAAGGCATTTATCTTAAAACAAGGTTAGTGCCCCATGAACTTTTGGCGTTTATATGAGCATAAAGTCGCTTCGTACAGCCGTAGCTGGTTTTAAGTCTACCATGTACAGTATATGTTTAACATATGAGCAAAAACCGTCTAACTAAAGCTTATTTGATGTCTATTTTATTGTAAAAACTTTATAATCTATTTCGTCTGTAACAGTAGGCTATGCATCTGCGCATTCGTTCATTCACACACCCGATTCATATTTAAACAGTCTTTTTGGTTATAAAGATCAGTATAGAACAAATCTCAGTCTATATAGTCTTACTAATGTAGGAGCGAAAGTGAATGAACGCCCAGCGCACCAATATAGCGCAGCAACACAGGTACAGGTTAGATTTGTGCGTTTTCATGGCTTGCTTTGAATAGCGCGCACTATCAATGGGCGGGGTCACGTATTAACACGTCATACGCTATAATTAGGTGAAAGGAAAAAGACTGACATCTCTCTCTTTTCATACAGATTACATCTACTGAGAATAGTTGCTTTTTTATATATATATTACTTCATTTAAAAGAAAAGAATTTTAGCTTCATAAAGAGAAACTTTTTGTGTCTCTGTGACAAGTATTTAATGAGTTACAGTTCATTTTCGGACGTGTTTCAGAAAGATTTTTGCGGAGACAGAGTGAGCTCAAAGCGCACCCTGTTTATTTTATTTATAGAGAGCCTAAGTCCCGCCCCTCCGCTTCCGGCTCATGGGACCTTATTTCGTAAAAAATATGAATGGTAGTCAATGGCGAGAGACAACTTATCTTTTTATTCCGTCTGAACTGTGCCCTCAATTACACATGATGTTTGTCAATTTAAAATATCATTCTGAAAGTCAAAAACGTCGCAGTTTGTCATACAACAGAAGAGTAACATTTAGTTTTATGTGAAAATCGCTCTATGAACTTCATCTCCCGGGAAGCGAAACGAGATCCGCTGCTCGTGTGTGTGCAGTCTGGTACAAAACACTCAGGTATGATGGCGTAACGTTACGATTATAACGTAAGACTGTAGAAACAATGACCGACATTAGCCTCAGTAAAGTTAGCTTCATTCATTGGGAGAAAATGTGCGCCTTTGGGGTTTGTAGTCTTTGTAATTACGTATTTTCACAGTCTTATACCTCAACGATTTTACATCAAACTGCGACTTTCTTTACTTTAAAATGTATCTTTTAAATTGTCAAACATCATATGTGTAATTTAGGGATCAATTCAAACGAGATCAAAATATTTGTTGTCTCTCGCCATTGACTACCATACAATATTTTTCCAAAATAAGGTCCCATGGTGGTCGACCGGAAGGGGAGGGACTTAGGCTCTCTATAGAGGGAATGCGCGTGACGTCACCGTCTGCTGGAGTGCCTGCAGTTACTCACAGTGAGTGGCAAAAAGACTGAGCGGCTGTATTTGTTTTCAACGTGAATGCCGCGAAAAACAGGCACAACACATATAAAGTGGGAAAGAGCTTTGCGATTGACTGTACAACTAGTATGGGTATATTTTACAGACTGCTATAGAAAGAGGAGCAAATGGATCGCTGCAATTCACAGAAACACAGAAACAACTTTGCAGTCAGTGAAAGGTGGATTTGCAGTTATCATTTTGTGTCAATGCTGAATTTAGGTGTAAAACCATACCCATATATGTTGTATTGTTATATATATATTAACAACTCATCAATTAAATATTTATCATTGCATATTCTGTATTATTGGATGTTTTTTAATAAACACTGACCAAAAAAAAAAAAAACACTATAAAGTTTTAGGGCTGGACGATATAATGATATGTATAGGCTATAACACTGATATGATCACCCGGATTTAGACCTACCTATATTGTATTTATATAAAGCGTTCACAGGCAAATTTGCGCGTATTTTAGGTATTGCTTTTATTTCCCCAGTTTTGAAATCAGGCAAACATAAATATCAGTCAATATCCATGGATGACTGGATCTTTAGTAAGTTGTAAGAAACACTATATTGAGTTCAACATTTAGTTTCAATTGATAAAAATGTTTGTTTTAGTCGCATTTTCCCCAATTCAATCCTGTCAAATCCCAGCATTTGCCACTCAGTCAGGTTGAGGGGGGTTGTTCCGGCGGGAAAGTGATGTCAATGCATTCCCTCTATTGCCTTAAGGACAACAGACGAGGCAAGGGAGGCTCTGTTTCTGAACTTATAATCGGACCACAAGAAAAACAACATAGAGACAAACACACCAGCCTTGTTTCTCTCAAGCCGAATTTTTCCGAACTCACCGCATTAACTCTATAAATGCCGGTGCAAAATAAAACAGCAATTTCAAAACAATTATAAAGAGTCTGTGTACTAACTTTGATTATGGTTGCACTTGCAATTATTGTTTGAACTTCAGACTTCAATGAGTTCAGTTAGGAGGTCACACACAGCCTCAGTCAGAAGTTCTAGAAGCTCTTAATGTACTGTTAGGTCTGAAGAGACTCATGTGAAATCAAACAGGAGAAAAGCCAGTCAATAAAAACCTTTTACAGTGCTTGTATATTGTTTTCTTTCAACGCATTTGATAATTCATACTCATAAAGTAGGTTTGAAATGATATGCATTTAGAAGATTTTTAGTTAAAAGATTGCAAAATGCACCTGCATACTAATTTTCCAGTCATGAATTTTGTCATTGAGGATTTCTGAACCAAATCTCGTGTCTTGTCTCGTCTCTGTCACAGTCTTCGTCTGCACCATCCTGTCTGCGTCTCCAGCACTACACTTCCCATGATCCTCTTGTCTGCACACCTGAACTCACTCCCTCATCAGCCTCCCGTTCAGCGTCCTGTTCATCTGTTTCACCTGTCTTCACCTCATTATGTTTGATTCTTCAGTGTATTTAGTTCCCTCTGTTTTAGTCAGTCTTTGTCGGTCGATGTTTAATGTTACGTGGTGTTACCCAGTCTTCCTGCCTGTACCTGAACTTTGTTATTAAGTAAACCTTTTGTATTGTAGCCTTTTGACTCAGCCTGTCTTTCTGCCTGCACCTGCACCGTGACAGATCGACCGACCGCCTAATAATGGATTTTGCAGTAGTGCAACTTCTCCTCCTGGAGCAGGAGGATCAATCCCTCGAGGCCCACACACAGAGGTATTTGGACTTGATACCTCACGTTCACTATGATGATACCAGCCTCTGTGTGTTTTTCCGGGCAGGCCTAAACGCTGAAACCCAGGCACGC